ATATCTAATCAGCAGAAGAATGAGGTTTTTGTTGTTAGGAAAATTCCCATGTGTAATTTTTTTAGACCGACCTAAAGATGCAAAAAGTTCACATCTTCGATCTAAAGCTACCATTAATCGTTTGCGAATGTACAAAAGCTTTAAAGCCATACGGTGAGTGCTTATTGCGCCGTTTGTTAGCCTTTTTTTAAGTTTTCTAAGACTATGATTCTAGCGACAAAGATGGGAAAATACTCAAGGCAGCTCCATTCCAAGGATGGCTAAAGTCTGGCACTGTTGCTCGCGTTGAACCCAACAGGAAATGGTTCGGTATGTTTCAATAGTGTAACAACATATATCTTTAAAGCCTTTCTAACACCATATTACAGGTAACACACGAATTGTGGGTCAGGAACAACTCCAGAAGTTCCAAGAAAATTTGGGAAAAGTGATGCGAGATCCTTTTCAAGTAAATATTTTTGTCTGTCCGTATCGGCTGGATTGTTCTTATTTCTCATTTTAAGGTTGTTATGAAGCAGACGAAGCTTCCAATAAGTCTTCTTCAAGAAAAAGCGAAGGTACTTGTGTTTCAATCCTCTTCATGTTTCTAAAATTCTCTTTTAGCAACAAAGAGTACACGTAACCGATACCGAATCCTTTGAATATACGTTTGGTAAAAAATCGCTGAGAAAGCGACCAAAGCTCTCGTGCGCATCATTAGAGGTATCTTTGGTTTTGCTTAGCTCTTACACGGTTTACAAAACTTTCTCTCAGGACTTGTCTAAATCAGTAGAGGAGCGCGTGGATACCTATGATTCAACGAAAGATCGCGATCTAACAGTGGACGAACGAAATCTTGAGCGAGTGGAGAATCCTAATCCATTGTTCAAAGCAGGACAGAGTAATCGTGTTTGGGGAGAACTATACAAGGTTTCCTCTTGTGACTATGCATTTCTTGAAAACTTCTCTGATTTTCTATTCTTTAAGAGATCTGTGCCATCTATTCAAAACTATATTCATTTTTGCTCTACTTAGGTTTTGGACTCCTCAGACGTCGTAGTGCAAGTTATCGATGCTCGTGACCCACAGGGCACACGATGTCGCCATGTGGAGGAGTTTCTGCGCAAGGAAAAACCTCACAAACATTTGGTTACTGTTATAAATAAAGTGGATTTGGTCCCCACATGGGTTACGGTAAGTCATCTCTTGATGAGGCAGTTCCTTTCCCCAAACGTTGAACTTCGTTTAGCGAAAATGGATTAGCGTGTTGTCGAAAGAAATGCCAACTATAGCTTTCCATGCCTCTATTCAGCATTCATTTGGAAAAGGAGCTGTGATCAACATTTTACGTCAATTTGCAGCACTACATAAAGATAGGCAACAGGTAGGTCTTTGTCAGTGTTAATAGTCTTTTGACAGATATGTACTTAACGTTAGATATTCTTATCTGAGGTAGTACCCCGTCGTAAGATACAATGGCCGCGTTTTTTGGAATTTGACTGTATACAGTTCCCATCTTTATTTGCATAAGACACGGTCATAAGAAATAACTTTCACTTTGGCTCCTCCTTGATAATGTTGTCAAAAAGCTCTTCCGGAGATGATGCTTTTTCCTCATTGAAATCTTCTACATGTTCTGCTGCTTCGCTATCTTGGAGCCGTTTAGCAGCCTTTTTCTCCCTCTTCCTACTTGCATACTTCTTTTTTTGAAACTCGTTATATTCCACTTCCAGTTGTCGTTGCTCTTTTGTTGTTTTCTAAAATGTATTTAGCAGAGCACCGGACTGGAATCTGGTAAAAACAAACCTCTAAGATAATCCGAGTGCTTCTAAGGGTATTGATAAGCTCTATCCTTGTCTCGAAGTCATTATAATCTACCTTTGTTAACAGATTTTCGGTAGAGTGTACTGCAGCTGTGTACTCCTTGATTTTCTTAGCCAATATGGCGCGAGTACTACGAATACGCTGTTGTTCGGCTAAAAAATCCGTTTTGTTGCGGCTGTATCGAAGAACTGCAAGTTCAGAAT